GCTGGAAAAGTTCTGGGCCTTCTTAAAATATTCCAAAGCCAAAAATCTGGACATTAACAGCAAACTGCAAGAATACCTCAGCAAGTTCAAGCGCCTCGAGGACTTCCGAGTAGATGTGAGTAGACACAGTTCCTGCACCACACTGAGGGCCCCTGCAGACAGTCCTCTGAGGATGGAGGATTTGGGGGTGCCCAAGTGGTGGCAGGAGGAGGGGCAGTGACACCTACTGTCACTCCCAGTCATTGCAGCCAGGCCGGGAGCAAACTGTGGGATTGGAATATGGAGAACCCACTAAGTGTGGGATAAGGGAGCTGGGTGAGCCTGTCCTCCCTGGTGAGGTGAGGAAGGAGGAGGAAAGGGAGCTTTGATGGTTTGAGTAGAGCCAGCATTGTGTGGAGCTTTGGCTCACAAACTTCTGGACTGTGCCTCTGTGTGGGAAGCAGGTGACTAAGAGCAAGTTGTCACTGTTGTGGTCAGTTTGGAAGTCAGTTTTTCTGTCAAACCTGGCAAATTTGGACAGGGAAGCTGAGTGCTCGGGGTCAATGTTTGTATTCCTTGTGGATCAAGGAGAGAAGTTGCAATTGGAGGCTTGCAGGAAGGCTGTTTCCTGATCCCAGGGGTGGGGCACTTGCATTTGGAGGAGGCTGTGCTGATGCTGGGGTGCTTCTCTTCCAGCCACCCATGGGGGAGGAAGGTGGACACAAGAGATACCCTACGACGTCAGGGGGAGATGGCAGGAAGCGCTACCCATCCCAGTCTTCCAGCAAAACGGTCAGCCAGTGCCCATCCAGCCAAGCCCACGCCTCACCCAGCCAGCCTGCACAAGAGGATGCCAAAAACCTGAGCCAGCAATCCCCTGCCCCATCAGCTGCAGAGTCGCAGACAGTGGGGAAGTAGAGGCTGCAGCGTCCGCTTCCTGCCGGGGGTGGGGGGGTGGTGGGGAATGGCTCGGAGAAGGGCAGACATGAGGCGGTGGGACAGGAAGGGAGCTGGAAGGTGGGTTCCCAGGAATAGGCTGCTTGGGAGAAACTTCAACGCACACGATTTTCTTCTCTTGTGGCTGGAAAGCAAAGACGATCTGCATCCAAAACACCATTTTGCTATTACTACCCTGACCAGAGCCAGACCCGCTCCCACCAGACCCAACTTTTTCCCTTCTCTCTCCTCCTGTGCACACACTCATGTCTTGATGTCTCTTCAAAAAAAAATGTGTTCTGGCTGGGTTGGAAAGGGGAGATTTTTTTATTATTATATATATATATCAAGTTTTAAATTATTGCTAGAAGTTCGTCTGGATTTACCAAAACAAGTCTGCTCTGTGTGGCCCCAACGAGTCCCCTCTGTGTCCCCCTCGGATCGCGGGGCAGCCGCTCAGGAAGCTCGGAGGAGCGAGGTTCCCCAGTGGGGGACCGAAGCCACAGCGTGTGACGATGCTGCGGAGCCTCTGATCTCCATGACCCGGCTGGCGTCTCCCACTCCCGCGCGGCGCTGCCTCTCCAGCCCTGCTCGTCCTCCCGCTCCCTCCTCCCCAACGTCTTCACCTTCCCGAGGGTCTGGCTCTCCCTCTGTGCACCTCTCCCTTCTGTCACGGACAATTTGGAAGTCAACCAAAGGACCTTTGCCGAGGATAGGCGTGTTGTGACTCCTTCCTGCGAGGATGGCTGGTTGGGAGGCTGGCAGGCACCCGGACTCGAGCCTGTGTGGACGGTGCACCCGCTGCCCCAGGAATGCCCATCGCTTGCAAAGACAGGACTTTGCTGAAGGAGCTTTTTTCTTCCTTTTCCCTTGGAAAAAATGACATAACAGAAAAAAAAAAAACACCTACAAACCCCTCTAAAACAACAACAGAAAAACTCTTTAAAAAAAGACACATGTCCCTTTGCTTTCTTCCTTGGAAATATTACTGAAGAAAAAAAAAAGAAAAAAAAAACAAACAAAAAAACCCCAAAAACACACAAAAAAAAGTTGCCTTATGGTGGAGCTGGACTGGGGAGGCTCGTTGGCTTCCTGCACCCTGGGGTGCACTGGGCTCTTGGCTCCCCCCAGGCCCAGAGACTCCTCACGGCATTGCTGCCGAGCTGATCTTCCTGCGGCCTTTCCTCCGACCCCGCAGCTCGCTCGGATGCCTCCCCCATCACGGAGCCTCCCTGCCCGGCCCGAGCCTCCTGGGGCAGGGGCTGAGGGCACTCACACCCAGGACTCATGCTCAGCTGTGTTGGTACCGTGGCAGCCTTGTCCCCACCACAGCGACTGTTCTGTCATGGCCTTGCTCCCACCCCAGCCCTCCCGGGGCAGGAGGTGCCTCTGCTCCTGTCTGTGCTTCCAGCGTGGTTGGGGAGTGAGCAGGGAGATTGTCACAGCAGCTGGGGGCACTGCTCCTGGCTCTGAGCGAGGGCTGCTTCTGCTGTTGCCTGACAGGGAGTGAGGCAGCCCTGGGAAAGCTGCCCCACAGCAGTGCCTGGCTCAGGGCTGCTGCTGGGACTTGTGCAGGGGTGAGCAGGAGCCCCGCCTGGCTTTCCTTGTGTGTTGTATTTTGGCAGGCACCTGCATGGAGTCTCCCACTCAGGGCACAGCCCCTGTGCATTTTCAAGGGCTGAGATGACACCGTGTAGCTCCTTACTCAGCTGAGGCAGGGGGTGACTGCAGAGCTGCTGTGGCATTTGCTTGATTCATCCTTACACCCAGCATCAGGTGGACTTTGGCTGCCAAACCCTCCCCAGGCTGTGAGCTGGATCCTTTGTGAGGTGTGTGTGTCAGGCATGAGATATGGGAGATGTCCAGTGCTACTTCTGGAGATGCTCCAGAGGTAGCACTGGAAAGTTGTGTTCCTTTCCAGCCAGGCCCTCTTGCCTTGCTGTCACCCTGCTCCTTCTGCTGGGTCCCTGGGATACCAGGCTTGGCTGTGGCTCAGGCTCCATCCCTGTGAGCTCTGGAGCTGTGCTCCTGTGTGCAGTGTGGATGCACCACCCCAAGGGTGCAGCTCGTTGTGTTGCTCTTTCTGCAAAGTCACAAGCTGGTACTGAGCAGTTTTGCCAAGGGATCCAGTTGATCCAGAGCTGTCTCTTAGCTGGGAGCAGTCATCATCTCTCCATGGCTGTCCCTGTGTGGCTGCAGAGTGGGTGGTGAGAGCAGCCAGGAGCTGAGCAGGAGCAAGAGGGGAAGCACAGCCAAGCTGTCCATCAGCAGTGGCTGTGGGTGCTCGTGGGGCCCTGGCTGAGGCCATCACTTCCCAGGGTGACACTGCCTGCAGGATGCTGCCCTGTGGGGACAGGTGGGCTGGTCCAGGTGGAGTGGCTTCACGAACTGCTGCTAGAATTGAAAGCACAGCTGGGTCTGAGAGGCTGGGGAGCTGCTGCCTGGCTGTTTCCTGGTGGTGTGATCCTGCCCTGGTCCATCCACCCCTGCCATGCCACCCTGCAGCTGGTACCACTCACGGGCCTGACTGCAGCATCCAAGGCTGTGGATCTCCGTTATGGCAGCAGTGCTCTGGGGTTGTGGGGAGGGAACTGGGCAAGATGGGCAAAAGTAACACTTGTACAGTGCTGTGGCCGTGACTGTTATCTCTGGATTTCCCCTCTTGTGAGCTGGAGTCAGATCTCTGAGGTTATATTTATAGGCAGGTTTGTCCCAGATTTGGGGAGGAGGAGGCTGCAGAGTCGATCAAGGACAGTGTAGATGTGTTGCTGGCTGTTGGCAAGTAGAGGCAGGTCTGGATGTGCCACAGGTGATCCTTGCTGCTGTGTCTGTGCTCCTTTCGTTGGCGTGTGTGCGTGGCTCTCTTGAAGCCAATTGTCTGCGTTTCAGCAACAAATTCATAGGACATGGGGAGGGATGAGCTGCTGCTATGGAGTTGTTGCTTGTAGAGCAGACTGTGAAATTGCTTGAGTTGTAGAAGAGGTAGGACATTTCCCAGAGAATTTCCCAAAACACTTGATTTTAAATAATTTTTAATTTCTGATCCTGAGGCTCTAGTCTTGGCATGGAAGTGTTTTCCCTTCCCCCTCTGCCAAGTCAGTGGTTTGTCACACTGGTGTGTGCACCCAGGGGAAGGTGGGTCAGAAGAGCAATCCCAGTGGTCCCAGTCCCTCAGGTTTGTGGACCGTGTGCCTTGTTTTGCTGTCCATGGGACAGCAGTGGGCAGGATAGAGCAGAGATGGACGTGACAGCCCGAGGCAGCTGCTGCTGGCTCACTCCTGTCTTCCTGCAGGGAAGGGAGCACAGAACCATTCCCTCCTGCTCCGTGCCAGGGTGGTGCTGGCAGAGGGCAGGGAGCTCCCCGGGTGCAAGGCTCACGTTCCCACTGGGTAAAGGGACAGCTCTCCAGAGGGGTTTGTGTTTGAGGAAGCTCTTGCCCTTCTGCAGAGGAGGGAGTTAGGCCTTGCTTTTAGTTTGAAGGCCTCAGCTCCACCATGTGTTGTGCTTTTTTGAATTTTAGAGGACTGAGTGGTTGCACACGTGCTCCTGTGAGTGCTGATTGTCCCACAGCCCACGAGAGCTGCATGGTGCTGGTGTCCAGCACTGGCAGAGCCTGGGGGGAGCCCCAGCTGCTTCTGGAAAGGCTGAGGGAGGCTGAGTCAGGGGAGCATTCCTCATCCTGCCCCTCTTCTCAGGAGGTCCTCCTTGCCGAGGTTAACTTGTTTAGAATGCAGGTGGCTGCAACAGGTACACACCACAGCTGTGGTGTGGGGTCAGAGTGGAGGAGGTGGAAGGTGTGCTTTTGAGGAGGCTTTGTTGCTTTGCTGTGCTCATTTGGGAAAAAAAAAATTAAAAAGTAATGATGCTGCTGCTCTGGTTTTGCCTGTCCATCTCTTCTGCCCCCCTGGCACCTCTGATGGCACCTTCTCACTGTAGCCCATGGAGTCCCTGAGTTTTGGCACCTGCTGGGGACTGATTGTTGTACTGTAACAAACTGATGTGTTTAACCTCAGTGTCCTGCCACGTTCCACGTGGCAGTGCAGAGGGGGCCTTCTTGCTGTTAATGCCTTCCCAGTTATTTTATCAAAAGGAACAAAAAAAAAAAAAAAAAAAAAGGAAAACTCTAAATGTAGCAAGCTGTGTTTGCAATGCTTATTGTCTCCTGTCTCTGAGGCTGGTTATGTCACTTGTCACTGTTTGAAATGAATGCGGGGCTCTTCCTGAGAGGGTTGTTACACTTGATGTTAAATGCCTCACTGACTTTTTTAAAAGATTCCAATACAGGTAACAGATAAAAGAGTTTCTTTCATTTTTTCTTTTTCTAAGCAAACGTTCATCTCGGTGTTGTGGAGCGGCTGGCTGGAGGGCAGCATTTCCAGGAGTAGTTTACAGTTTCACTTTCTGCAGACACTTGAACATAGGACCGATGTATCTGTGACAAGCACATCCCCTTGGTGGGAAGCTCCAGAGGAGCAGGGGGTGCCCTGGGTGCCAGCTGGCCCCTGGGGAGCGTGCTGGGGTCCCTCCAGCTCCCCACGCTGTCCTCCTGCTCTCCCCAGCTGGCAGCCCTGCACCGGGGTGGCTCGTGCCAGTGGTGCCCCTCGTGGGAGGGGGTGCTTGGCACCACTTGGTCCCTCAAGCCTCCCTGGTGCAGCCCTGCTCCCCATCTTCCCCCCCAGCCTGTCCTGGTCCCACTGGGCTTGGAAACCTTTGGATCTGTGGCTCAGAGACACCCACTGAGCTGCGTGCCAGCGAGTGCAGCCTTCTGCTCGCTCGCCTGGAGCTAAAGGGGTGATGGTTCCATGTGCTGGCCCTTCTCAAACCCTGTGTGTCCAACCTCAGCCTTCTGTTTCCCAAAACTAGAGAGTGTGTGCAACCTTCTTCAGCTGCATTTATAGTAGAGACAAACTTAAAATGACTCATCACAGACCATGTATCACTTGGGAGGAAAATCTTGTTAATACGGCCTGCTGTACATGATCCATCTCTGTCGATAGTACATAATCTTTGACCCATGTGCTAGGATCATCATCACGTATAAAAGGAAAAGAGAAAAATGTAAAATACTTGAATGAGAGCTTGTATTATAACATTAATATTATTCAGAGTATCTGCTTTCTAGGCTGATGTGATTCATTATTCTAGTAATGCTTTAGTCCTTTGTAATTTGTGGTAATTATGCTTTTTCCTTTTTAATACAAAAAAATGTATAAAAATAAAAAGTTCAAAAGACAGTGGTGCCTGGATTTTCTGTTCTGCTGAATTGCCCTCCCCAGGGAACCGTGCCAGGTAACTGGGCTGGGTTCATCATTGTGGGGACTGGAGAGGAGCAGGGGAAGTGGCTTTGGTTGCACAGGTAGAGCTGGGCTGACCCATGGTCAGTGCAGCACAGGTCAGCCCTGTGTGCCTGTTCCTCGAGGGGCTGCTCTAGCACTGGGGAGAAATGTGATGTTTTTGTTGCAGGCCTCACAGGCAGGACTGAGGCTTAGGAAGATCCTTGAGAGAATTCACAGCATGTCTCGGATGGTCTGTGGGTATTTGAGAATGTGCATATTGTTCTGGGGGCTGCTTTCTTGGCCCCTTTATTAGAGGGGTTCCTTAATCTCCACACAGCTCAGGACAGCAGAGACTCTGCTTTCCTTGGAAAATCTCTGGAATTTAAGAGCACTTTGGTTGTGTCTCGAGTGAGGGGAGGCTCAGCAGGAGGAGGTGATGAAGCACATCAGCTCCCAGCTCTCCCTCCATGTCCCACCAGGGGTAACTCCCTTTGTGTGCAGCTGTCTGGAGCAGTGATGAGGCTGTGGCAGCCCCAGTTCAGCCCTGTACTCACCTCCTGTTCGTAACAACTGCTCACAGGAAGTCAGGCCCTTGTTGCATATGCAGGGGAGTGTTTCTAAAGCTGTGGCCCCAGTGATTTTCCACGGGGTTGTGTCCTGTGTCCCAGGTGCTCTGAGTCACAAAAGCTTGTGTTAATTGTATCACACATAGATGGAGTGACTTTGATGTTTCTGTAGAGTGAGTGCTGACAAGAGATGCCAAATCATCACCTGTGGAGTCTGGTGCTAAAACCTTAATAATGAGAACCCTGAGCCATACACAGGCAGCTGGAACCAAGAGACAGTGCAAGTAACAGATAAACCATTAAATTTTAAAAACAGATTTCTAGAGCAGGTTTTTTTATAAGTGTCTTATATAGAAAACAATGGCAACAAAAGTGCAGTGGTTTCAAAGCAGCATATTTAACTTCAGCTTCATGATCTGTTATGTGTGGACAAGAATTTGTTTCCTGATTAAAATACTATTTGGCATAAATCATTGTCTCTGACTCTGCTCATCACCAGGCTGGGCAAGAGCTGCTGGGCTGGTTCACTCCTCTTTCTTGGGTGGATCTGGGATGCTTTCAGAGAGTGGTGTGAGGCTGAGCAGGACCTTGTGTCTCTCGAAGGCTTTGCTCTGTCTGAACATTTTGTCTGTGCCATGCAGGAAATCCAGCACTCCCAGCACTCCGTAGCACTGGTTGAACCTGAGAACCAAACACAGATAAACATCACTGGAAGTTACTGAGGTTACCTTGCCCTTTCTCTTTCCATTCCTTTCTCAGCCCTGATAATCTGTCCATGGGATTTCTGCCCCTGCACCAGTCTCCCTGGCAGCTCTGTCAAAGCCTGGGTGAACCTTGTGCAGCTTCTCTCTGGTGCCATCGTTGCCCAGGAATGGTGGCACTGAGCAGCAGCTCAGAGCTGTGGGAGCACTGCACACCCACGTTACCAAGCCCCACGCGCTCTCCAGACCTGGCTGGCCTGGGATAAGGAGCAGATGTGCTTCCAGCTGGCACAGCTGTTCCACCCAGAGTGTCCCTGTCCTGGCATGTGGTGAGTGAGCTGTGCCCTGGGCTGGTTCTGCAGCAGAGCAGACATTTCTGGGCAGCATGTCTGAATGCAGGGCACACTGGGAGATGGGAATGTTTCTCCACTGCTCAGGTATGTATCCTTGAACAGTCTGCTGCAACAGCTCTCTCTCCAGCACAGGAAGCTGAGAATCTCTGTCAGGAAGGGTTAATGGTGATTGTCTGGGCAAAGTGTAATCTGATCAGTGTTACTGATCCTGGTGTATGGGAGAGGGACAGACAGACAGGCTTGCTTATTTTGCCTGTGTGACTTGCCCTGGCTCTGTCCTTAGATCACATGAAGTGTATTCTGAACTTCTAGGAAGAACCTTGCAGAGAACTGTCCTTAACAGGGCTGGAATGCCTTGAAATCCCAGTTTAACTGCTCTAAGAACTGGCAGCACTCAGCCTGCTCTCAGGTGAACTGGAGAGCTGCTCTGCTGGTGCATGAGTTAGGCAGACCCTCTTGACCCTCAGAAAGGAGCTTTCCCTGCCAGTGGAGAGGCAGGAGAATGGAAAGCTGAGCAGTGCCCAGACATACTTGAGGTGGTGGAAGTCATGGAACTCTGGAGATGGCAGGAGGGGCAGGTGGTAGCCACAGTGAGAAATGCTTGTTGTTACAAGAGCAATGGAGAACCATGCTGAGACTGAAACAATATGAGAGCCCATGATCATCGGGCCAGCCATCACAGGCAGAGTGTTGGAGACCTGGAAATGAGAAGAAAGTACCTCATTAATGGGTCCACTACAGGCAGACTCTCCACTAGGAGCTGAATTGTCACCTGGTGATCCATCACACTGGTTTGTTTTGTGCAAACGGTGTAAAGGAAAGAGCTCTCTGCAAACACCTTACTAAAGTTACATAATCATCCAAAAAGTGATAGGAGAGTTCTACTACTGCAAACCATTGTCAAAGCCAAACTCCATAAGCCCGCAGTAGAAGTTAGACATGACTCCAAACCCTGGGTGAGTACAGCATGATTCCAGTGAATCACTCTGGAGTCTGAGGTGTGAATTCCAGCTTCACCTTGGAATAATGCTGCATCTGCCCTTGGGGAAACCTCACTGTGGTATGGCATGGCCTGCAGGCACACACAGCAATGTGACAAACCCTGCTGCAGCTCTTCACTTGTTCTGCCCGTGGCACAAATGGCTCTGGCTGCCTGGACCCAGCTGCATGCACCAGCACAGCTCAGCTGGGCTCCTCAATCATGCTGTCCAAAGACTGTCAGCTGGGGAGACCCTCAGAGCAGCCCAGGACTATTGGTAACAGGAGATGGAATTTTTTAAGTGGAATATTTGAAGGTGGAATGTGTTTTCCTAAGAAGTCTCAGCTGGAAGGGTGTTGGGATACACTCCTTGCAAACACTGAAGCCAGCAACCACCACAAAAATCCTGACAGAATTCCAAGTCCACACAATCACTCAGGCTGTGTGTCATACCTCTTGCTGAAAGCACTGTCTGTGCTCCCAGTCCTCTTGGGGCTCATGGGAAGTCCTGTCCAGTCAGTTCCTTATCTACTGGAGGCCCTTGGATCTGTGCTCTGAAAGCTACTGGAGTCCAGTATAAACAATTACTGAACCCTCCAAGAGCCAAGCTTCTTGGCAATGCAGCTCAGCTTCCTCTTCCTAAGGAATAAGCCTCTAAGGGCATATTTTCTTCTCTTCTTTACCACTCCACCTCATGCCATGAAAATCACACTCCACAGAGCAACTCTAGGGTGACCATAGGAGAATCCACTTACTATGTGCTCTATTGGGTGAGCATAAATGGAGACCACACCGATGGGGGCTGTCCACTCGTGGTGCTTCTTGTGAATGTGCTTATAGAGCACTGGGTGGTGAGCAAGCCTAGGCAGAGGAAACAGAAAGGCAGGTTTTGAGCTCTGCAAAAAAAGGAGTAATAGAACACAGAATTTCTGCAGGGGACTTGCTTGTGTCTCCTCTAACATGAAGATTTCAGAGCAGCTGGCAATAAGAGTGTAGGATTCCTTGCTTCCTTTGCTATCTTTGTATTGAGCCCTTATTCAATTAATGTGTCTGCTGGCTTATGATAAACTCAGGCCAGAAAAATCCCATAAATCATAGTCCCTGAATTACTTATTTACTCAAACCTGGGAGTACTATTAGGGGAAGACTCACTTTATGCTTTCACTGTTTTGACTTTTTCTACTGGCAACTGTCAAAGAATCAGAATTTTCAGTTCCATGGGTCCTTCGTAACAAACACCATTTTCATTTTTCAGGTGCATTCATCCTAAAGGGAAACCTACAGATTTCTGAGAGTACTGTTCTTGCTTCTGCTTCTTTTGTCTTCCTTGCTTCAGTTCTGTCTTCTAATGTTGGTGTCAGTGTTTGGAAATCCTGCAGTATTGGATGTCAGGCCCTAATTTGTAGGTGCTGTACAAGGGAACAGAGATCAGTCACTGACCCTTGAGATTTTTGTCTTTCAGGACAGTAAGTCTTGTTCTTTTCAAAGAATGCTGGGTTACAATTTCTCTGAAAAGCTGCCTGTTCTGTTTCTTCCTTAGCTTTTAAGATGTTCCACCTTTAAAATTCTACCCATTTTTGTTTACTAGTTACTGGCAGCACCAAGGCCTGGTGTTGTGAGGGTGGATTTCAGGACCTGTAAGATTTCCCATATAAATACAAAACTAGTGGAACAGAGGGACGAGGATTATTGCTGTTGTAGGGTATGAGTACAAACTTAAAGGCACGGGGGAAAATCAAGCACCTGTTCCTGTGCTCAGCTCACCTGTGTGTATAATAGAAGAGAATTTCCTCTACTACAGTAAAAATGCTTAGCTCCACAAGAAACCATTGGAAGGTTGGTAATTCCTTGCTGAAGGTGTTTTCCCACCATTGCATGATGTAGAACATGGGCACAAGCATGGGATAGGAGACAAAGAACTGATTACCCAGCGCTGTGTAGATGGCTTTCCACACTTTCTTTCTGTCCACCTGCAAAAGAGAAGTCAGGACTTAAGACTAAGAAAGAAGCAATGCAGTTTTAGTTGGAAGGATGAAAAGCTTGAAGATTTGTAGGCAGTTAGTTTTGGGATCAGCTCTTTAACAAGCAGTCAATGCAGATCTGATCAGTAGCATTATAACAGGATCTGCCTTCCTCCCTACAGTGGGTATACAAGACTTGACTTGATCCTCCTGGAATCCTATCTGGTTGCAAGAGAAAAGCATAACAGGTTCTTCTCCCCATTCCTGGCCTAAGAGACTGCAGGAAGTGTTTAGCCAGCAGAGAAGGCAGAGGGAGAAGTACTTACAGGATCATTCTTGCCCAGCTGAATGCGATAGCGAGTAATGAAAGTTGGCTTTCCTGTTATATCAGCCACCAGAAGGATTCCATTGAAGCCCCAGAAAGCAAGTGCAGGCACCACTGCAGCCCCTGTGGCATGAGGAAAGGGCAGAGATGTGTGAATGAATTGGGAACTATGGCTAAATCAGAAACAAAATACACTGGCATAGTACCCAGAGGACCTTGCTGGGGCCCAGATGTGCCAAGGGTGTGTCCCCTGACCCGGGATGCTTTGAAATGGAATACTGCTACACTCTGACATCCAGGTAAGATCAAAGAATGGGAAGGAGGTTAGAGCAGACAAATGTCTCAGAGGTTGAAACTTTACATAACTGAAGCTAAGAAAAGGCTTTTCTAGGTGGCTGGGAGGCCTCTGTTGCTTTTAAATCCAAGCAGGATAAGGTTGACTTGATCTCTAGAATCTTGCAAGGTCCCTACCAGTTCTGTTCACCAGCTGCTAATCACAGAAAAGAGTTTTTAAGTACTACAGCAAGAGTAGAATTCACTACATTTACTTATATTTTTAGTAATTAGTTCTACTGAGTCATTCAGTTCTCACAGGAGCAAAGTGACTTCACAGGGAAGCCACTTCAGTAGCACCAAGAAGATCAGATTTTTAATCTGTACAGAGTCCTGATGGTGACCCCATCCAAAAGCAGAACAGCTGTACCACATCACCTGTGGGCACCTTCCAAGCCAGTGCTTGTCAGTGGGAGGATTAGTGAGTTTGGGAAGCTTGTCCATGTCTCCCTTTTATATGTAATACATGGATGATTTCTCCTGAGAAGCATTGTTAAAACTCACCAACGAGGAAGATTGTCCACTCATCTCCCTCCATATGGTCATAGAACTCCAACCATGCTGTTTGCCAGAAATTGCCTAAAGTTATATTCTGCATCAACCTGTGGGAATAACAGTGGTTGGTTGCCCATCTATTCATCCACTTTCCCCCCTTTCCACAGAAAAGTTTCTCCTCAAGCTGCTCTGTTTGAACATTCTTACCAAGAAGCAGTGTTCACTAAGGCAGTGAACATGAGCAGGCCTGTACTGAAGACATAGGCAGTGATCCTCAAGGCATCCGAGAGCTTCTTTCCCTGTGAGAAGCAACAAGAGTAAGCACGTGCTGCTGTGTCCTGCCCTGGCATTTTTGGTATTTGAAATGATGAAGGCAGTCCTGTGATGGCCTGTTTTGCTTCACACACACACTCTGAAGAACACAATAACAAAGCTGTTGTGGGATACTGTGTATAATCATCCATCTGTCATGCTTACAGAGATCTGGTGCATGACTGATGTGGAATTTCTTTGGAATAACCAAAGGGAGAGAAAGGACCACTGATCTTTTTTTCCCTCTTTATTTGGCATACTGCTCAGTACCTGGAGGGCTATAGCTCCAGGGGTGACTGGATAACTCAGAGCAGTGGGAAAGGAACACCAGCAATAAGGAATGGTGCTCCATCTCAGCACCTCCCTCCCTCAGTATTTTCTCCCTCTCAGGATGCAGTGTTTTCTCCCCACAGCAGTTAAGAACTGCTGTGCTCAGATGACCTGGTTAACAGGAATAAGTATATTCAAAAAACAGTCTTCAATATATTTGAATATTTAAATATTTGAAACAAAGTTGTTTATATACAACAAATTTATAATTAACAATCTGTCTTTTAGAGTAGTCCAAGTTGGAATTGGTTCTGGAGTGCAATTAATTTGGTTTTAATGAGTGAATATGAATTATATCTATCTGCAATGTAAACGTTTTTTTAAAAAATCAATGCAATAGTATAATAACCAGCTATTGTCTTCTTCATTCCTCTGTCCTTCCTGTTTTTTAACTGTGGTGTTGTGCTGCACAAACAGACTGGAGTGGAAACAGTGTGATTCATAGCTGCAGTCCTGCTCACCTCCTGTCAGAGAGGACAAACAAGAGAGGCAGCTCTGAGAAATGCCAAATGCAGGTGGTTTAGAGTAATGCAGTATAAAGGAATCCTCTTTACGATTCTGTTACAGCTACAGAACATTAAATGTGGCCCAGGACTTATAAGCAATACTTATCTGTCCCAGGACAGAACTTTGCTTTAGCACTGAAACATTCACTACTAAAACAATCAACCAACCATTTTCTCCTATCACCTCTTTTTTTTTTTTTTTAAATTTAAAATGCAGATAGGGAGGAATAAAGTGACAGCAGGACTCTTGCCCTACAGTCTGATATTTGTGAACCCTATGGGTTGATATGAGAGCAGTGCAATCAGCTGCCACTGTTATCACTGGAAGTACTGAAGGGCAAATGCCAGGCTGGCAAAAGCCTCTCCTCCAGCATCAGATACTGCCTGCTGGATCCTGGACCAGAGATTTGCTCTCTTAGCAGTTTCATAATTCCAGCTGCATCCATGTTATGCCCCATGTATGCTGATGTAAGACTTTCTTAATCTTTAGACCCGGGACCATCACTTACATATTCTTTAGGAAAAAAAAAAAAGGTTACAGAAGTTATAGAAAGCTTTGAGCTTTTTAACAAACTCATATCCTATAAATCCTTTTTCTCCTGGGATGAAGAGCATACCAAACAAAAATTCTGTCTTACAAGTGTGAGAATTTCCAATTAGCCCAGATAAGGTTTCAGTTGCTTTAACATCCCTCAGCTCAAGAGTTTCAAACCTTTGTAACTCCTAATACAAACAATGTGCACGTCCTGCTTTGAGACAGGACAGAATGGAGCTAAAGCTCATCACTTCAACTATTTTAACAGCCCTTTGGCTAGAAACTGTCTTGTTTTGAGGCTGTGTTTTTATTGCACATGATGAAATGATTACATGAATACCACACACTATAATTACATGAGATGTAGAAGTAGAGAAGTTTACATAGAAAACAAACTTTGTTCATCAAGTCCAAGTGCTTAATACCCTGTTTCTCCTCATGCCAACAGCTACAGCACTGTGTTTCCAAACTAATTCATGGATTGCTTGAGTTCTTGCTCTTAAAGTGCTTGCAGAAGTTGGCAAATTCCTTAAGTGCAGAACAGAGTTGCTGCTGGCAAGGTGAAGAGACTGTGGCACATCAGCTGGCCATAAGAGTTTAGCAGGACCAGGCCCAGTGAGGTGGCACAGCTTCTGCTTATGGGGGACTGTGGTGGGTGCTTGCCACTCAAGCACAAATAACAGGTCCTTCCCCACTTGCTGCTGTAGCTGCAGTCCACTGGAAGGGAAAAATGCTTTAGTGATAAGAGATGAGCTCCTAATTATGCAAAAATGTTCGGAATGAGGATGTGTCTGTCACTTCTCTTAGAAGGTGATTCAACACATTCAGCATTCCAAGGCACCTGCATGAGCTTCCTTAAAACGATGAGCTTGAGCCTTTACCTGCTTCTGCAGCTCAGCTGTGGAGGAATATCCAGAGTCTGTTTCCATCTGAAATAAAAGGTGATCTAAGTAAGTGAACTTTGGCCAGCTGGAGAGTGGCAGAATATGATGCAGACCACAGCAAATCACCTCCACTTGCAGTTCAGTGCTAAAAGTGTAAAATATTTATTCTCTGTACCATGTCCTGTCCTGTTCTATCCTTTGTGTGTTGGCCATGGAGCAAAGCTGAGTTCTTAAGAAGAAAAATGCTCTTGCTTCTTGAGGAGTTAGTAGTGTTCCAGAAGATTAACAGGGATGCAAGGATAATAAGGAAAAATGGGAGAACAGCCAAAACCAAAGGTTTTGCTTGTGTCACTGGTGTGTTGTGGCAGGACTTCCACCCTTGATCTGCCCCAGGAATACACTGCAGCACCCAGCAGCTACTCCAGCCCTTCCCAGGCTGTAAGGAAATGATCATGTGGGACATATGTTCTGCCATAATGACAACATGCAATTAAACAACCAGGGATGAACACAAAGTGAGTTTGGGCCACAAAGAGTTAACACAACAGAGCCCCACAGCCTTCACTCAAACTCTGAATTACAGTTTAAGAACATGACAAGTAAGAAAATAATCTTTGCTTCAAATCCTGCTATGGTCACTTAGACAGGTAAAGTCCTAAATGGGCATGTGGCCATCTCATAATGACTCTTCCTGCATTTGGCTCTGGCTTGACCATTTGTTGATGGCTTTGTTAAAAGAAATTAACAAATAAATCAAACTCAAGGTCTGAGTAGCTGCTGGGACTTCACTGCTGGCCATAGCCATGAAGGGTTCTGTATTTCAGGCCATGTTCTGGCTGTGCTAGGGATTATTGCAGAGCTGTTTTTATATTTCTGCAGTCTTATCATCAAATATAATTAGCAAAAGTTAACAAAACATCCCTTAGTATTTTCTTGGTTTCACATGGTCTCTAAGAAGAAACACACAACTTCTAACAACATGACAGCCAGATTACTGAGGATTGCAGAATTTAATCCATTTTGCTTTTCCTACTCAGCAGAATATTCAAGCACAGGCAAACTGTCACCTAAAGTACAAAGGTAAGCACAGAGAAGGTTCAAAAGTTCTTGTCTAGGGTACAAAGAGTTGGAAAATTATTCATTAGGAAGATGATATTCTACTACCTTGATGATGGAGGGAAGCCTCTTGGGAGTACTCTTCTTGCAGCGTTTCAGAAAGGAGGAATAAACTGTCAAAAAGAAATCCTATATTAGTCAGAAGGTATAGATTTGAAATTATAGCCTTCTGGGTATGTTCTTACAAATACAACTCTGTTTATTTACAGGTGTTCCCAGCTCTGTTACATTACATATTAGTATGCAGGTCAAAGGGCATGAGACAGTAAAATTAGACACCTCCTTCCTGCTTACTCAGACACAAAAGAGCAAGGCCAGCCCACCATACCACACACTTTAGTGGAAGAAACTGATGTTAGACAATTCTGAGAAGGAAAAAAGAAAAATAAGGCAAAAAGGGATTTGAAACGTGAAACCCTGAGGCCAACTCCCAACCCTGTATTTCAACACTAGGGCTGGACGTACTCCTATGGGAAATGATAAGTTTTGGTAGCAGTCTTAAAAAGAAACCAAATCCAAGTTCACTTTGTCTCCCTTGGCCAAAAATGGTAGCATGAGAGGTGCCCTAAAGTGCTGTTGCTTAAAATGAGAATGTATTGGGGAACCTGCAGTGACCCAGGGCTTCCTGTCCTTCCCCAGACACAGAGCTCCTCACCACTGCACTTTGTGAGCTACCACAGCCAGTCTGTGGGATTTTCTTTTCCTCTCATATGTTGTTTGCTAACCACATCTTTATTGATAAAATACAGTTGAACTCTAATATATCTGATGAAGAATACCCATAAGAAACAACCAAAAATAACCTGCTAGCCTGAAGAGAAGAGCATAAATAACATGCCACAGGCCAAATTTAAATCGATCTTATCTTAATTTTTAAAAGACCTAATCACATATGTTATCTAACATCCACTACATGCCCATCTTGTCACACAGGTTCTCTCAGGGCAGGTGTGCCCACTGCCTTCAAGAAAACACTACTAAAGCTTGAAATATATCAGGCTTGAATAATCCATTCCTTTGAGGCTTTACTCCATTCCAGCTTTCTTAACAGGTTGTTCAGAGCCTTGAACAGTTGAGTGTCTGCACAGAGGGAGATTTCACAGCTTCTCTGGGAAATCAGTTCCAGTATTTGACAACCTTCACTGTAAGTTTTTTCCACTTGGATTTTTTTGGTTATAACTCCTATTATGTGCTCTCAGGCTGTGCACATCCCTGTCTCTACAACCACCCAGCAGGGAGCTGAAAAGAGCAATATCCAATTATTCTGCTGGGACAGTAAAGTAAATAGTGCTGGCCATAGTTTTCTGTGGTTAAAGAGATTATTCTGCTCTGATGACTTGGTAGCAGACAACATTAGATTAGGAGAGGCAGATGTGAAAGGGGAACCTCACTGAGCTGGAAGGCTGATGCTCCTGAGGTTCCTCCATCCAGCAGTGCTGACACCTTTGCATGTGAAGAGCTCCAGAGCAGAGCACTGCAGAAAATGTGACTCTGCTTTGAGTTTTTAGGAGAAGGAGCTATTACTTGACTGAGTCACGTATCCTAAGCATTTAGGAAAGAGTTAAAATTACAATCACATTTCTAGTACTCTTTTAAAAATAATCAATTCATGATAGAAGGCTGGCTTGGGCAAAGATTTCCAGTTCAAAGCAGAGCTGCCACATCTGCTTACCCTCTGTTTCAGAACACTGCCTTTATTAAGCCACTTTCCAGGATAAAATTCTACATTATTTACATTAAACCCAGAAAAACTTGGATAGAGTAGGTTTTCCCCAACATCTCATTACCTACTCTTTTTTTATTGTGTAATGTCTCTCCTGATTCAGAATACACCAAATACATTAAAAACCCATTCATGTAACCATGGCTGTTTCAGCAAACAAAAAAGCCATTCAGCTGCTTGGCACTGCTCTCATGTTGGCATATTTTACAGCCCCAAATCAACCACTGAAGCTCTCAGCTGCCTGCAGCTATTTCCAAATATCAGCTACGACTAGTACTGCCTAAAAAAAAAAGTTCCTTTCCAGTTATTACAAATTAGTTAACACAACATTTGATCCAAAGCAAATTCTCAACCCTAGAGTAAAAGTAATTGCTTTTCCAATCAGTCTCTTGACATTAAAGGGGAAACACATTAGTCAAACAAGAATTCTAATACATTTTTTATATTATTATTTCCATTTATCTTCATTTGCCCAAAAACTGTTCATTAAGTCACAGATCTTGTTTTCACTGAATTTTCCACTTCTGGTACTGAAAAAAAGCAAGTTTGACTAAGTTATGTTTTAAAATGTTCAGTATAATCTGAAAAAAACCCTGCTGTATTTTTTACATTTTTTTAAACATGTGAATTATTATTTATGCCCCATGCCTGATGTTCTGGTGCCCAGATAGCCTCAAGCTGAGGCAGCACAGGTGCCCTTTCCCTGCACTGCCAGACCTGCATGGCAGGTGCAGCTCAGAACAGCTCCACATGCTGTGATGCACTGGCTGCCCACCCAGCTCCTTGGGGTTCCTCGTGCTGCCTCCTGAAGCCTCTGGTGCAGGTCTTACTTCACTGAAGTCAACCTTTATATGGCACAGAGAGTGGAAAACTGCTCCTGAGAGAACAAAGGCTGTGACTATCCATGACAGTACAGAACACAGAGAACAAAGAACACAGGACCACTTACCTGGTCACCTGAACAGCTGCATACCAGCCACTCTGTGTGGACAGACACAGGACCAGACGTGGTGTTTGATGTCCTACCAAGCACTGCCCGGTTTTAGGGGAAACCCTGTTCCTAGAAAAGCTGACAATGGACTTCACACAGACACGACATTGCCTTTTAATGACTTCCTCAAAGTCTCTATCATATCTTTTCAAGCACCCTTGAACTCTGGCTGCCTGTTCTTTGCTCACCACCTGCTGATGGTAGCCTAGGAGAGCTCCTTGTGTCTATTCAGAGCCCAGAGTTCAACTCCTCACTTTTCACTCCTGCTGTCGAAACTTTATGAGGGTTTAGGCAAGGGCAGTGGGGGTGTGTTTCCAAGCAGGAGCTGCCTGTCCCCTCCCAGACAAGTCATGTGAAGCAGTGCCATGTCACTGTTAGTGCTGGCAGTGTGTATGTGCATGCTGTTACTCAGTTAAGCACGTGGAATACATCTCTGCATCCCTGTAAGTTTTTCATCGTTGTACCTGAGAACAAAAAAGCCACCAACACGACAAAGATAAGTAGTTTTTATAATTCACAAACTCATGGTTAGAACACAAAATAGCTACTGCCAGTGCAACTGAATGGGTCAAAGGTGTATTTGTTAAAAGCAATAAGGGTTACTGTGGAATTTGGCAAAAAAACAGCAGTCCAGTTTTCATGTTGTTGTACTAAGTCTAAAAATTACTCCAGCTCTGTTGCTACACAGTGCCCTCAACCAGTAAGAGGATTTGCTTGCATGGGTAAAGTGAAGACACACATAGGTTAGCATGTGCTTGGGCTCAGATGTCTTTAAATACGATGTTTACAGACCATAAAGTGTGTAATTATGGTATTGCAGGGAGCAAGATGTAATTTACAGCAGCATTGATCTTTCTTATGCAAATGTGGCCCCAATCTGTTACTTAGCCCATAAATAGTGCCCTGTTATGAACTAAGCCCTGAGAACTGAGGGTGTTACTATCATAACTTTCCAGATCTATTTTTCCACAGGAGGAAAAACAGGGAATACCACCTCTGCCTCACAGTTAGCCTTGTTTGCCCTTCACAGGTGAAGCAACACATGCTTTTTCTCAGTAACACCTTATGCCAGCAGAGCTGCAACTGCAGAGAGCTGGGCAAGAGTGAGCAGCGTTTAACACTGTTAGTGTTTCCATCCTCACTTTCTCTTGCCTAATTCCAGCTATTCCCTGGTAGGGACACAAGTTTTAATTCTTAGCTGTTGCTACTGATTTGTATTTATCACACAGAGCAGGCTCAACGGAGAGGAATGTGATTCCTTCAAACTATTTACTCACGTGCAGAGGAGGAAGTGGAAATGAGCATCTCAAGAGGGGGTGCCATAAGGATAATGTCCTCAGCTGATCTTTGCATTTGAGCTTGCAGGGGGAGGGCTGTTCATCCAACAGCCAATAGTAGGTGATAAGAGTGAATTTCAGTGTTCCTTTTGAATCACTGCTCAATTCCAGCATGGGTGATCTCTGAAATATTCATACCCATAGGGACAGCTCAGCACGTTAGTCATAGGGTTGTAAATGCAGTTTATCTTCTGCTGTAATTTTGTGTCTAGCCTGGGTTGTCACTAATCAAACTGCTGCCCCTGCCTGCCCTGTGCTGATGTTTCCACCAGACACCCCAATGCTGCTGCAATCTTTGCTGAGCCATGCAAGAAGTCTGATTTCTTCTGAGCAAAAAAAGCTTTTTGATCAAACACTTCATAATACAACTTGGTTCACTCCCCAAAAACTCAGTTTTTGTAATAGTCACTGGTTGTCTCAGTGTTTGAGAGGAACATCGGGGGAAAATCTATGACGTGTCTTTCAGGGGACTGGACAAGCCCACATGGATCCCTCCTCTAAGGCTGAAGAGGAATCTGAACTTGGCACACATCACCCACTGCCTCATTAATTCCCTGCATTCTGAACCAGATTTCTCACCCTCTGCCAGGGCACGTGTGCCACCACCTAGCGCTGCAGTGGCTGCTTTGGGAGCACCTGTGGAACAACAGAAGGGTGAGGAAAACATAAATTCACCTTTCAGGATTCCCACAGGTAAGTTTTCTTGTGGTGCTGTGAGTAAGCTCTAAAGAAAAGGCACAACAGGACGTGCAGCTCGAGCTGCCCAGTGTCAAAACGTTGAGCTAATACCTTTATTCCACCTTAGAATGCAGCTCCACACTCACATGTAGATGTGAGGACTCTTCAAGACTTGGAGTGCTGGAGCTGGAGACAACCTTGGTAACCTCCAAATAGAGAAATGATGGGACTCTTTAAAGAGCAGGGTGCCTCTTCCAGCTATTCTGAATCTTTATTAGCCATGTCACATTTGGAAAAATCCTGATCTCATCAAGCAAAATGTGTCTCCAGCTCCTCCCACCAGTGCTTGCAAACATCCTTGAATGGCTTTTTTTTTACAGATTTTTACACTTTTTTTTTTTTACAAATTTTTACACACTACAAATGTAATTTATCACAGGTGATTATTGCCTGCAACACATTTTTATTACAGTACCAAGGCCACAGATGTTTGCAGTGGCCTGAGGAGATGCATCCTCCTTTTTCCCCTGGATTCAACATCCCTTCAAGCGCCGGGTTTACGAGCAAGAAAAATGACTCTGAACTCTTTTGGGAAATAAAAATTTCACCTTATATTTACAGGGTGCTGTAATCCAGCCTGCTGAATTTACCTGCTAACAACACAGATTTGCTGGTACAAAACCCCAGACTGAAGTGACCACAGGAAGAAAGGTGATTACTTTCTGGCAGTGTAGCATATTGCATGTTGCATAAATTGCACAACACCAGAGACTGCAGAGCTAAGGCAAAACAGTATCCCTGTATCATCCCTGAAGACAAACTCTGAATCAAAATAATGCTCAATAAAGGGAATGTACCAAGATGCTGACAGCAGCAAGGTCACTCAACACAGCAACACTTGAAAAACCCTCTTCTCTTCTAAAGGCAACATTTGTGCTGAGGAATGAAAACCTGAGACACGGAATGGTGCCTGACGTGTGAAAGATGCCAATATCTGCTTTTCCAGATACTTTGATCAAAATGCTGGGCAAGTAGCCGAGCCTCAGGGAAAGACTCCCATATGGTGGGCAGATAATCCAGTAGTAGAACATATATATTTATAGAAGCATATACATATTTTACAATAGATGCAACCTCGTCCAGAAGGAAGGCAGTCTAAAAGGAAGGAAATACTATCTAAATTTAATTAGTGGACGAACTTCAAATGAATTGCCTATCTGCCATCAGCGTCACCCAGCGAATCAAGCGCTGGCAGCCGTGTTACACAAGCAGCAGCTGCTTTACCAGCTACAACCTTCTGTTGCTAACGTAACTTAAATTCCATTCCTGGAACAGGAGAAGCCAGACGAAAAGTCTGCAGGTGCAGTAGGAACTTTAATGACTTCTAAGCCCCTGCAGGAAGAAGCAGAACTTGCCCCACTAGTGAGCTCGATACGCACTACACCGTGGGAGCAAGGCGTGCCAGGCCAGCAGCGTTTGCTCTCTGGGCTTTGGGAAATCCCCCTGGGAGACCGAACCCTCATCCCGCTCCCACCCAGCGCCCCCTGCCCTGGGAGCCCGGGCGGGCTCGGGCCTAACCCGACCCGGGGACCCCCTCACCTCCCCGTGGTGAGGGAGGGGCGGCCGCTGCTTCTTTCGGGGACGCTCAGCCAGGGCCCGGCGCAGCCCGTGTCCCAAGGGATCGGGGTGCTGGGGGCTCCCCATGCTGGAAGCCCATCCCAGCCCCGGTGCGCGTTATGGCGACGCTTCCCTCAGGGAGCGGGGGCACCCCTCATCCCTCCCCCCCTCCCGCGGAGTTTGGACTCGCCCGCTGCTTGCAGCGCGGGGGGAGCCCGGGCGAGCCCATTAGCTGCACTGCGGGGGGGGAGGAGAAACACCAGCCGGCAGGGGCTGGGCGCATGCGCGGTGCGGGCACCGCGGCCGCGCGCAGTAACGCACCCGCCCTCTCCCCCGGGCCGCGCGCGCCGCCATCTCTCGCGAGAGGCAAAGCGGCGCGAGAGCCGGAAGCGCCGCCCCTCGCGGCCGGGGGCACTCGGAGCCATCGCGGCTGCGCGGGGCTGGAGCGGCGCGTCCCGGCCGCGGCTGCCGGGAGGTACCGGGGACAGCGGGGCGGGCGGCTCCGCAGTGGGACCGCCCGGGCTGTGAGGGGGCCCTGAGGTGGCCTCGGGCCGGGCCGGGCTGTGGCGCTGCGCTCGTCCCTCCGCGTAACTGGTGGCGCAGGGCCCGGCCGGGCGAGCCGGAGCCTCAGGCCGGGAGCGGTTCGCCGGTGTTCTTGCGGGAAAGGGGCGGCTCGGGCGGGCCGGGGGCTCAGCTGAAACACCGCTGCCGTGTGGCCCCGGTTACACCCGAGGAGACAGAGCCCCGGAATGGGTTACAGCGGTGGTGTCCAGCCTCCCTGCTCAAGCAGGGTCATCCCAGAGCGTGTGGCACAGGACTGAGTCCAGACAGTTCTGGAATGTCTCCATTGAGGCAGACTCCAAAACCTCTCTGGGCAACCTGTTCCCGTGCACAGTTTTTGCTCATGTTCTTTCTCACGTTCAGGGGACACTTCCCATGTGTCAGTTTCTGCCCATTGTCTCTTGTCCTGTCACTTCATTCACCAAGATGAGCCTGGCTCCATCTTCTTGGCACCCCCCTTTAGATATTCATACCCACTGAACCTCGTGCCAATGAGTGCTCTCTCTCGAATGCATTCTGTTGTGTTTAAACAGTTGTCTTCATCACAGAATCACAGAGGGGGTTGGACTGGAGAGGACCTTCAAGATCATCTCATTCCACCCCCCTGCTGTGGGCAGGGATGCCTTCCACTAGGGCAGGTTGCTCAGAGCTCCATCCAGCCTGGCCCTGAACACTTCCAGGCATGGGGAAATGGTTGAGGGCTGCACATGAGGATTCACTGCCTGCACATCCTGTGCCCAAAGTGTCAAAGCTTATGCCAGGAAAAGGAAGATAGGGGTCATGATTCTTTAGATAAATAACTGGACTGTTGGTTGTGCATCTGCTCTTACATTGTGAACAGATGCTCTTGATTTCATTCAGCATGTTTACAGAAAGTGATAAAGCAAGAAAACTTGGTGTAAACTTTAAATGGGTTATTTGAAGGTGGAAAAGGAAGTGTGACTGGCTCCTACAGAGCATTTATTCACATGTCACTCTTCCTTCACTTAAAGCATTATTTATTTGTCTCTTTAATGCAGCACACTGATAAGATTGCACAGCTTGTGATCCTGCACTGTCATTTGAGTTCAGCATCAGCTGCCTTTTTTCTGGTCCCTGCAAGATGCCAGCAGCCCTTGCAGAGAACAGCCAGGTTATCTGTGAAGTATGGGCCAACAACCTGGAGGAAGAGATGAGGAAAATTCGGGAGATTGTTCTGAGTTACAGCTACATTGCCATGGTAAATGTTTTATACTTGACCTAATTGCCTCAGTCAAGGGATTTTTGGGGTTGTGGACTAAGTTGATTCTTGGGTGAGAAATGATTTCTCTGTACCCTCAGTCAATCTGAACTAGAAGAGCTGAAAAAATAAAAAGCTGTTTGGTAGCTTTCCAGAATTTAATACAAGCAGTGTTGAGTATGGGTTGATTGAAAGAAGGGGAGGATAGAGACGAACTTAAAAACCTGAATTTGTTTATATTCAGCTATTCATAGTGTATTAGTTTGTGCAACAGGAAAATGAAACAAATCACTACTGGGTTTAAATCCTTGTTTTTCCACCAGTGTGTTTGTCCTTTGAATGTTTTTCTCCATTTGATTATACAAGATGCCATGGAACTGGAGGTCAAAAGGCCTGCAAGTGACTGCTAGCCAGCTGGGCTGCCTCCTTTCTAATGAGGGCAGATGTTGATTCTTAGGGAAGAAAAATATTCTGGCTGTAGATAAGACAATATGTTCAGAAAGCTTTATTTAAGAAGAGCATAATCTCCCCCAGGTGGGAGGAATCTCCTCCTGCCCTCACAAGTCTGTATCTGCTTGGCAGCACCCCAGTGTGTTAGATAAAGAACTGGTTTTAGCTGTGATGCTGTAAGTTCTGCCAGCTCTGCTTAGGAGCACTGAACCTCAAGATATGAAAAGTCCTCATTAAAAGCTTGGCAAAAGACAGGTGCCTTTGCAGTGTGGGATTTTGGTGTCAAATTCAGCTGTGGAAGTGAACATGATTTTTTAATATTTGTCAACGGGAAATGAACTTTTTGCTTTTTTTCAGTCTCACTGAAAGTGTTCTTAGAATTTGAGTGACTGTGCTGTAAGAGCAGACAGACAAACCTCTTGGGCAAGGAACAGATTGTGTCAGGTGCACAGCACTGGGTTTGTTGTGAAGGATTTTGTGTGCAGTCAGTAGAACCTCAGTGACCCAATCTGGGGGTAGAAACAGTATGGCAGTTTGGTGTTCAGCAAAGACAGCACACAGTCACTGGCTGAGGGAGAGGTTTTTCATCTAAAAGGAGGTTTTTCATCTAAAAGGAGGTTTTTCATCTAAAAGGTGGTTTTTCATCTCAAAGGTGGTTTTATGTCTAGAAGGTGGTTTTACATCTAAAAGGTGTTTTTTCATCTAAAAGGCGGTTTTTCATTTAACAGATGGCTGCTGTTGTTGAGGTGTGTTTGACTGACAGTGGTTTTTGTTGATGTAGGCACTGACTGTTCCTCAGAAGCAGTGAAGGGTTTCACTGTCTGGGCTGTCCTAACAGAGTGGTAATAGTGCCTCCTAAGAGAATCCCTGGTGAAGCTCAGTTTTCCCTTGTGTGCCAGGACACGGAGTTCCCCGGCGTGGTGGTCCGGCCGATCGGTGAATTCCGCAGCTCCATCGATTACCAGTACCAGCTGCTTCGCTGTAACGTGGACCTGCTCAAAATCATCCAGCTGGGCCTGACTTTCACAAATGAGAAGGGGGAATATCCTTCTGGCATTAACACCTGGCAGTTCAACTTCAAATTCAACCTCACGTGAGTCTTTGGCGTTGATTTCCTGTTCCTTCTGCTGGAGTGATGCTTTCCTTTGGCAAATACCGGGGTCCATGTGTTCATCACTGCTGGCTGCTTCTGAGCAATAAGGATTCAGATTCTAGTACTGACTATGTGGGAGCCTATTTTGGAGTGCCAGGAGTTAACAGTGTATCTGGAATCAAAGCCATGCAAAAATTCTATCCTTATTACCCTTACTCTTGATAATTTTGTATGCCTTTTTTTTTTTTTCTGGAACACTGTTTGAAACTTCATATATATATCTATGTAAAACTCCATCTCTTTCTGCTAAAAATAAATGGATGTGCTGGTCTCATCAAAAAGAAAAAGACCTCTTTACAGATCCATGCTTAAGTATAAGCTGGGATCTAAAAACATGTTGGTGTAATCATCACATCTGTTCAGGAGAATGAATCTTGTTAAATGGAGTGTGGCAGTTCTTGTCTCCTGCATACTGTAATATCCTGGGTTGCAGCTGAAACAAGTTTTATTATCCCTTCCCCTGTAATTATAAAGATAAACTCAGCATAATTACCACTAGAGCTGTCTGGAAATAAAGAAAGGGTTTATCTGGCAAAACCACATATGTAGAGAAAATCTATTTTTATGAAACTGTCGTTGGAAAGCATTACAAAAATTTGTAGCTACTATGTGCAGATCATCCAGTTCTTGACCCCAAAAGTTGCACTATTTACTCCACAAATTTGTGAGCCTCTTAGAGGTATTGGAATCAGAGTGGAGTCGTTATTGCTGTGTGATCATTTCATTTAAATGAGTTATCATATTGATAGAACTTGGCTCTGTGTGTTTCCTCCCCCTCAAATGACACAAACCAGTAAAGAAGTCAGGTTCCTGCTCAGCTCTCCACCAAGCACATCATTCTTGTCCTGCTTCCTGAGTCAAGGATGATGCAATTCTGTTCACTCCCAGAGATGGAAGTGGAGGTGCTGATAAGGTGCTACATGCTGTGGAGTGAAAAGGAAAAATGTAGACAGGAGTGATGGTCAGTGCTTTAGAGATGCACATCTTCCTGTTTGGGAGAACTCCCCTTTCCTCTGGGCCTCATCTGAGGTGCTCCCCTTCACCTTGCAGGAGGGACATCGTTCAGAACAGTCAGTTATGGAGCTGGAATCTTTGGAATTTGCACTAGCAATGGAAGTGTTAACTAGTTATGATCACAGAACAGCTTGTTATGGCTGTAGGAGGCTGCACTAGTAGTGTTGAAACTGAGCCAGTTTGAATTTTCTAGAGAGACAAACTGGACCCAGAAGTATCCTACTGGTTTGTCCAATTCTTGACATGGTGTGGGGAGAATTTCTCTAAAATGAGCTTGTCTTGGCAGCACCCTGAGTGCAGACTTGCTTTTTTGTTTTTCCTTCAGGGAAGACATGTACTCTCAGGATTCCATAGACCTCCTTGCCAGCTCTGGGCTGCAGTTCCAGAAGCATGAGGAGGAAGGGATTGATACCCTGCATTTTGCTGAGCTGCTGATGACGTCGGGGGTCGTCCTCAGTGACAGTGTGAAATGGCTGTCCTTCCACAGGTGGGTCCAGGATGCTCACTGACCCTGTTAAATCTCTTCTTAATTCTCTGCATTTTTCATGGAGATTGACAGATTTTAAGGAGAAAAATTAGCAGTCCTGCAGTTCTTAAAATAAACTCCAAGATATGAAGGCCAAGTTTAAGAAGTAAGGACACTTCATGGTGTGACTTCCTGACTGCTTGTGAATCCTTTTGCTTTACAGTCTCCCTCTCTTGAAGAAGTTGAAATATGATTTCTGCACTTAGTAAATGCATTGTAAAGGATTTTGTTT